ACACACACACACACACACACATACACAAAAACATCATCCTACATGCCAGAGCTTGGAGTTTGAGAAACTATGCTGGCTTTTGTAATCGTTGAAGAAGAAGAAGTCCGTGGTATTGTGTAAGACCACAGGGTATATGTTTGTGTGTGTCTGTGAAGACTTTACGCCGTTGCCCTTCACAGTAAGTCGCTGCTGGGTCACCAGCCCTTCCTGTCGCTGGTGCTGAGCTGTCTGAAGGGCCAGGACGAGCAGAGAGAGTTCCTGCTGCGCTCCCTCATGAACCAGATGGAGATGTTCATCGGCAACTCCAAGGACATGATGGTGAGTCGCTGAGCCCGTGTGTGGGGTAATGTACTTCGTGGTTTGGTTTTTTTTTTTGCTGTTGTTGGTTTTTTTCCCCCTGCTTCATCCATGTCTTTGTGTTTGTCGTGATTCAAACCAGACATGTTGTGGGTGGTTGGCGGGTGCTCTGGATCAGGATAATATAGTGTTTTTGAAAGCATCTGAACAAAGGAATGAATGGCGAACTATGATCGCCAATGTCTGTCGCTGATCTAGCAAGGGTTTGCTGGGGTAACAATAAGTTGTAAAGCACGTAGAGCCTGCAGTAGGACGTGGATTGGCGCTATATGAATGCGATTATTGTTATTGTTGTTATTATTCTCTCTCAAATTAAAATCTTATATCATTCAACAAATTTTTAGTGGGTGGTTGGCAGGTCCTCTGGTGTGGTTTGCTTCTTCTTTCCTATCAAATCAAACATCTATCGTCTTTATCTCCCCTCCTTTTTTTGTGTGTTTGTTACTCTCTTGTAGCACCTCTAATCTTTGGCACTTATATGACCTTATTGTGTTGCAAGTACCGTAAAACACTTACTAAATTAAACTTAAAATTTTTATCAGGACAAGACACCAGATGAAAGCAAGATCCGCCAACACCTTCACGAAGCTCTACATCTGAGACTCTCCTTGGTAAGTGTCATATCCTTCCTTCATCATCAATGCCTTTCACCCCCGGCAGGGTGTAGGTCACATACAAGCTAATTCCCTTTATCTACATCCTGGGCGGTCCTCCCAAGCTCGTTCCAAGTGAGCCTCATCTCTCTCATGTCCCTTTCCACACATCTCCTCCTTGTTTCCTGTGGCCTTCCCCTAACTCGTCCTCCCTGTGGGTTCCTCTGCAGCGACTGTCTTGTGATGTTCCCGCTGGGTTTTCTGAAGGTGTGTCCCGTCCATCGCTACTTTCTTAGTCCTATTTCTACTTTTATGTCCTTTTGTCCTCTCCTTTCCTCATTTTTAGCAATTTTTTGTCCTTTCCTCATTTTTAGCAAGTGTCTCAGTTTTTCTGCTTGGATGTTGTAACCCTCTCGGCCTGGACTGGCTCAGACAGGCTGGATCGGAAGCCCGCCTCATAAATAATTGTGTGGATGGGGGTGTAAAAATATCTACATCAAACAGTACTTCCACTCTTCCGTATTTTTACGGAAATCCGTACTTTCTGCCAGTTCCGTACTTGTTCCTCCTTCATCATCAACTCCCTCCGTAAAAAAAACTGCGACAGCGCAGGACTGCCGAAATTCCGTACTCGCCTTCCTATCGTCTTGTAGTTAGGGATATTTACGGTAATTCTCTCGGCAACAAGTTAAAGTTATTGAAACCTGCCAGATTGCGCTTTTCCTGCAATCGGCCATTATACCGCTATGTCCCTTGAATTCATTGCGGGTTGGTCGGCAGTACATTTTTTACCTGCAGATGGATCAAAATCTGGCGAACTTTTTGTGCCAATTTCCTCTTTTCTATCATTCACTCATTCCTTCTGTCTATCTTCGGATTGTTGCCGCGGCTGGAAAATCTGCGCGTTGTTCAAGTAAATTGACTTGTGATCTTAGACAAAAAAATTACTGTCAGAAAGAAACTTTTTTTTCAAATTTATCTAGATCTAGATAAATTATCGATGCGAAGATTCTACGGCACGTGAACGCAATACGGGCCGCGATGAAAGAAATAATAATAATGCTGATACGCGGGTGCCCACTACGAGACTACGGATGGGATCGGCCGATCGCGCTGATCGCCCGACTCGGTCACCTCAAAAACAAACGTGTTTGTTTTCAGTTTCAGGCGATCGAGTTGGGCGATCGGCCCGATCCAGCCGTAGGTAAAATAAAAAATAATTCGAAGTGGTGTTCTGAGGTTTGACAGGCAACATTCAGACGTGAAAATTGAGAAAAAATGTGGGTATACGCTGCGCAACTGTATTGTGAAGGTATACATCTATTCATTATTCCCAGGTTTGCCTGCTATCAATGGTGCGACGTCAAATTAATTAATTGAATTATAGTTATAGTAGCAATGAAAGGGGAACCTGCTTTTAAACATTGCCAGCAATGGAAAGATATGTTGGTGAAGAAATCAAACAAGACCAAATGCTGGTGAAAAAATAAATGTTATGTGCTGTAGTCTAGGCAATCTCTTCAAACAGGCTCCCAAATGCCATTTTCAACCCTCTAAAAGCACTAAATTTCAATTTCTTCGGGACGCTGTCCCTGGGCCCTGCTGGGGGCGTCTGCGGCCCCCAGACCCCCGGCAGAATTTTCCTTACTTTTCAGCTTCAGCTGGTGGAAGCACTGATCAAAATAAGAAAAAAAATCTCATAAAAGGATTGGGAAAAGCTACAACTGAAGATGTGCAGAGCTACCAGTCACGGAGCCCTACATCTAAGACTTTTCCTTGGTATGTCGTATCCTTCCTTAGATCATGAGGAGATACAGACTTGCTAATTGTCTCAAATTTCCAGGGATTTGTCCCGCACTTGGCAGTTGGGAATTTTAAAAGACATTTACTGTACTACGCCAAAAGCAGTCCTACTTGGTGTTATTTTGTTTGCTGGTGCGTCATCTGATGTTATAATGTTGTGTCTCCCTGACTGGATTGTGAAAAGTTTGCCTAGTCTGGGAAATGTTGTAAAAGATTTAAGAAAAGCCTCAACGCAAGATATACGTATCTGCCAACCAGTGCATGAAAAACATGGTTAGTATGTTTCGAGGTTGTGAGAGACAGGAGTCCATTTTTGTGTTAGAAAGTGTGTGTCCTCTGTTTTCTGGCAGTGCTTCTCGCAGATTTGCTTTTTTATCAAGTTTTTTTTTTCTTTAGATGAGGCTCAACACTTTTTATGTCCATTTAAAGACACATTTCTGTGTGGATTTTATGGAAAAACATTGATCAAAGGCACATTTTAAGATATGTTAATTTGCCATTTTTAAAGTCACCAAACTTGGGCGGCCTTTTTCTCGCCAATTTTGCTTCTGACTTGAGGCGACCCCCACCTCCTTAAGTCACAAGTATCTCAACCCTTCTAGTATTATTATTATTATTATTTTATTTTTTAAAAATTATTATTATTATTCATTATTTTATTTTTACATTTGCTCGGCAGGTGGGGGGCATGTTTGACATGATCCAGAGAAACAACGCCATGACCAGCGACTGGGCTCTTATCCTTGTCCAGCTGGTCAGTCATGATGTGGTGGACTGTCAGGTCAACAGGTGAGGGGTGACATTATCATTAGCAACATCATCATCATCATCAGTGACAACTACCATCATCATCATCAACACCAACATTATCATTGTTTTAGGCTCTCGGTTAGGCAATATCATAATCATCATCATCATCATCATCATCATCAGTGGCAACAGCAACACAACCATCTTCAATAACAACCACAAAACAATCATTTTCGTCAACAATAACAACGCAGCCATTATCATCAGCAACAACCACCTTTATCATCATCATCAACCATATTGTGTCGATGAGCTTCTCATTATTGAAACCACAGGTTTCCCTCTCAACCGGGAAAAGGGGGGGAAAGCCAAGAATTTCATATTCAGATTTCCCTGCTTGGAAACACCATGAGTTTGGATAAAAACAAAAATAAATGTGAGAAAGTAGAGGATTCATAGAGCTGCCTATGATTATGACATTAAGGGAACCGTTACGATTTTTAAAAATCAATTTCACAAAAATATTTCACAAAAACACAAATTTTCAAAAATCTATTTGTCATTCAGCTACCCCAACTCATCCCCATCTTCTAGGCATATGGGAAGAAAAATAATCAAACCCCAACAGTCACTCTCTCATGAGCATCTCTCTAACTTAAACACAGAGCCCTTATCTTTAGTCACTCAGTGCCACTTTGCCCTCTGAAAAATAGACCTGCATGTTTGCCGACAATCGTCTGAAATCCGACAATCGCGACCCGACCCGCGAACCGGCCGATGCTATCGCTAGGCCCACCTGTATCAGTCAATGTGCGTAGTGCGAGGCTTGGCCGACTGCCAGCGACCCATTTTTCTCCCGTCGGCTTCGTCGGCACTTTCGTTTTCGTGCCGACGCGCGCACCGCCGACTGCCGACGTCGGCGTTTCCGACATAATTGTCGGAACCTAAGTAGAAATGCGAATACGAAAAAGGACGACAACTTAAATAATCTACTTTCAGTTTCGTGCTCAAGCGGCCATTTTGAATTTCGTTTGTTGACTAATTCAATTGTTCAGATCGTGTGGATTCATTCAAGTCCGACTCTCTTGTTCTAATAGAATCTAGATCTAGATTTATATAGATCATTATAGACCTCAATGGAGGATTCATATTCCAATTCTATTGTGTCAAACCCTATCATAGGTTGTGCTGTAATATTTATTATATTGGTAAAAATAAGCATTTCATCAGGTGCGTGAATTATTTATTTATTTAGATTCTAGATCTAGTAAAGATCTAGATCTATCTAGATCTAGAATCTAGACTCAGCTGAGTCCCTCTGTTCGGAATCGGATGCGGATTTCTATTTCAAGGCCTATTCCTATTCACTTGTTCTACAAGATCTAGATCTAGATTTATTTAGATTACTAGATCTATATATGAAGGATTCATTTCCAATTCTATTGTGTTATTGTATCAAACCCTATAGCAATGTAGATGTGAGCCATATAGATCTAGATCTAGATCTAGATCTATATGCTCCTTGTTTGTTTTGGAGTGTGGTTTTTTTAATTTAATTTTTTTTTTCATTTAGGACTTGTTTTGGCCTTTTTACATGAGGCCCGTTGCAGGTTCTTTTTGGGGGTAGGGTTAGGGTTAGGTCTCTTCTTTATTGTGTTTGTTGGGGTGGTCGCTCGTTACTCGGATGTCCTTCCTTATGACACCCACAAAGGCTTTTGGGGGGGGGGAGGGGGGGGGGTTGCGCAAAATTTTCAGACAATCTG